GTTCTCAAACTTGTTGGTTTTTTAAAAATTACTGAGAACCCTAAAAAGCCCTTGCTTATGTAAGTTATGTCAATTGATATTTACTTGCTAGGAATGAAAACTGACAAAATATTAAATAATTTATTCATTTATAAAAATAACATGATTCAAAAATATTGTAAACCAGTGATATGTTACCTTAAATTAATGTATTTTTATGAAAAATAATGTTTCAACACAAGGATGTTTAGTAAGAAAAATGGTATTTTACATATTTGTTCTTGTTAGAGTTTGACTTAATAGAATAATTTTGCATTCTCATATCTGTTTCTGCATTATCTGTGGCAATTTGTTTTAGTTGAAGATAATCCAACCTCATATAATTAAGATAATTGTGGTTATTCTTATTTGATACTATACTAAAACTTGATAACTATGGTTTCTTAAAGTTTAGTTGCATAAATTAATATGAATTTTTTGTACTCAGTTATACTAAAACCACTGATTTATCTTGCACTTTGAATGGATCTTTTATTCATACATGATTTGGTCACATGATGCATTGGTCATTTGGAAAATATTGCTTCACTGGGTTACACAGCTCTTCCAAATGTTGACACATTTCATACACAATATCAAAAATGGACTTTTATTAATGTTACCACAATCTAAGAAGAAAAGACATTAGGGGTTGGAACATTGTCAAGTTCATGGTGGACCATTCAAGTTTTTCAAGATTCTAATTAAGCTAGAATTTTACCATTGGCAACAAATACTGTCAGCTGTTTTACTTCATGTGACAAGGTCATTTTATACAGTTTTTCAAAACTGTCTGCCAAATACACAAGTCTGAATAACTATAGTCTGCATGTTGTCCATTCTTTCAAGTAAAAGTAGGGGTTTTTTTATACTCCTTTCTCTCTTAAAAAGAGGCTAGTTCAGCTTGCAACTCAAACAATCACACAAGTGCTTTTCTTTGAGACAATAATCTTACTTCTGCACATAGCAAAAGTGCTTTCTGTGTGGGGAGTAACTGATGAATGGGTATGGGGTTTTATTTTTAAAAGATTATTTATTTTCAGAGAGAGAGGAAAGGAGGGAGAAAGAGAGGTAGAGAAACATCAATGTGTGAGAGAAACATTGGTTAGCTGCCTCTCACATGCCTCTAGTCAGGGACCTGCCCACACCCCAGGAGTGAGTTCTGAATTGGGAATCGAACCAGTGACCTTTCGGTTCACAGGCTGGCACTCAATCCACTGAGCCACACCAGCCAAGACTGGGGTTTTATTTTAGAGTGATGCAAGTGTTTTGGAACTGGGTAGAGGTTATGGTTGCACAATATGGTGAATGTTCTAAGTGTCGCTATACTTCAAAATGGTTCATTTTATGCTAGTTGAATTTTGCCTCAATAAAACAGTGAAATGAAGTGCTTTATGTGTAATTTCCATTTCATCACAGAAACTATTAAACAGATCTAGAGTTAGTAAAATTAATTTTTTATTGCTTTGTCAAGGACATTCTTAAGGGAAACTGGCATTTTGTTGACTGTCACTGCATGTTAGTGAAGAAGATGACGATGGCTGTTAGTACAGATGGGGACAACTGCCTTGAATTGATTTTTACCACCGCTGCTTTTGCACCATCAGTTCAAATGTCAACTTGGTTAAAAAAAAGACAAATAAGTTCTTCTTCTTATTAAAACAGTTTGACCTACATTGGTCCCTGAAAGAATCTTATGGCTCCCTAGGGAACCTGTGGACCACACTTTGAAGACCACTGCTCCATGCCAAATTTGAGCTGAACCGGCCCACCCCAGCAGCAGAGGTGCAGTGTGGCGCCTGAAAAATCCCTGGAGATTTGAATCACTTAAATGTGGGTTCAATTCCAGTGTCTGTCTGACCCTGGGCAAGTGGTTCCTCAAAAGCTGAGAGTCCCAGCTGCCTTGTCTGCTGGGTTAGGAGGTTAAGAAGATGGGGATGGGTTATGAGAGTTTGGGGGTAAACAACACAAAGCACCCACTGAAGGGGAGGGTACTTTTATCATTAAGCAGCAGAGCCTAGGTTTTTGAAGGGTGTGTTTTGGGGCCCTCCAGGGGCCCGCTTGACCTTGGGAAGCCTCCATCAATCAACCTTTCCATCTATCTTAGGTTACTTCAAAGAGTCCCTGAGCAGCTGGAAGAACATTTTCAGCTTTGAAGATAGCAGGGGGAAGAAGCCTGAAAAGGCAGTAGTAGGAGGGGAGGAATTTAGAAGGGTAGAGGGAGCCCCTCACATGAGAAATAAGGTAGCAAGAAGCCCTCACTGAGCCTGGATTAGTTTTCTATCTTTTTTCTTCATTCGCCACACAAAGTTTAGGGCTTTGTTTTCAGCCAAAGTCCCCCCAAATCCCATCCATTGGTTTGACTTTTCATAGGGTACAAAAAGTTCCCAAACTCATTACCTTAAAGAATCCTTACACACCTCTGTGAGGTGAGGAATGTAGTGATTCGGATCCCACAGGGCCAAGGGGGAAACAGGCATAGAAAAGGATAAAGAACAGGTGGAGGCACAATGATTCAAATTTGTCTTTTAGCCTCAGACCAGGATTCCTTTCCATTGTTCCTTGTTAGGCCCTTTCCTTTTAAGTGAGTTTTCAGGGCCAGGCAGCAGTTTTCTCTTTCTTATTTAGAGATAATTTGCTAAGATTGCCCTAACAGTAAGCAGGTGGGCAGTAGTGGAAATGAAGTGCAGTAGAAAGTTTCAAAGTATGTTCTGAGAATCAAACTGTTTGGGTTCAAGTCCTGATCTTTATACCTCCTATGTAAAATGGAGGACAGGAACAATACCTGCTCATTGGGTTGTTAAAATTACATTAGATATACATGTACAGCACCCATACGGCATCAACACAGCTTAAGGTTCAATCTTGTTAGTGATTATGAGAATGAGGAGGCACAAACAGTGATTTTATGAGCACAGAGAAATACCTCCTGTGTCCTATATATTAGCTGAAGATTCATTTAAAAATTCCTTAGTCTAGATTAAAATCAAACATGGTGATGTTCAGCCTGAAGACAGGTCCAAGTGACATACCCTGTCCTTGTGGATTCCTAGGGAGCTGTGGGATTGGCTGAATCTTTACCCTGAGCCCTCTCATTGGGGAAACTGTTCTAGAGTCAAGCATTAGCTTTGATCTAATCAGAGGCCACCCAACTATGGAAACCCATCCTTTCACCTTTACCTGAGCAAAGGTTTGGGTAGCAGAACTTGTGCCCAGAGGGGAAGGAAACTGATGGGAACCTGGAGAAACAGGTGGGAAACCCTGTATTTTATTTGATATTCATCTATTTTTGCACTTACTCTTTCTTTTCTTGTTCCATAAAGGCTATAATCATATAACAGAAAGGAGACTTGAGGATAGCAAATGTGAACAAAAAAGAAAAAAGATGAAAAAAGAAAAAAATGTAAGTGCAAAGTTGAGGCTGGAAGGAAAAACCACTGTTAGTATGTGGATCCAAAGGACCAACAATAGGCCGCCACTGAGCTTCAAATTTAGCCTTGGGCTTTCTGGAAGACAAGGTGAAAAGACACACAATCAGCTGTGTAACACTAATTATCATAAAGGGAGCACACCTGTTTCTGTGGGCGGACAGCAAATCCTTTCTTTGAATTAAAATGTAATTTCTTATGTGAGATTTTATTTCAAGTGATGATGTCATGAAGTGCCCGGTACAGCATAGTTTTTATTGTCAGTTGGGTTTAGATTTGAATTTTGTTTTAGTGCAGCAATTCTGCACTGCAGCTTGTTCATCTGTAAAATGGGGATAATAACACCACCTATTATAGCTGTGAAAATTCAATTAGATGAACTGTATAAATAAATATTGACTATTAATCAAGCAATTTGACTGCCCACTACTACTTACCATGCATAATTCTAGGTGCTGGAGATAACATGATGAACAAAACAAACAAGATCCTTATCTGCAAGTAGCTTTTACATAGGAATGGATAGAAAGGTAACAAACATGAAAAATAGGTAAATTATTGCAGAGAGTACTGTGAAAAAACAATATAACAAATGCAAGGATAGATTTCATTTTACTGGTTCTCTCAGCCATTTTCTAGTAAAGTCAAGGGTATAATGTTAAAATGCAACTCTGAGGAGGTAAATCTATTAGGGCCTAACGTAATTCAGTACTGGTATGTAGAATTCTTCTGCAGGCTGTTGCAAATGGGTTACAATTTATTTATTTTTATTTGAAAACTCACTTTATCCCGCTGAGCTTTAGTTTAAGTAGTTAAACTAATATTTCAAAAACAGCATTATAAATAGAACCTTGAGCACACTAAGTTTACATGCTTACATTAGCTTTAACCTCATCACAACTACAGGTGAAATATACTATGTACTAATGTTCTATTTCACTGGTTAAGTAGAGTGAGGCATTGTCTTACTCAGAGATATAGAGTAGGAAAAGATGCCTCTTAAAAATCTGTAGGATCACCTTTGACTTTTCGTGTTCGCCCGTTTTCCACCTGTTTGTCCCTCCTCCACTGGGTTTCTCCATCAGCTTTTCGATCACCGCGGGCATTCCGAAGGTCTGAAGCCCCGCCCATAACGGGGCGTGACTAACGATTCTGGCCCCGCCCCCTCCCAACTCGTGACGGCCCGCCCTCTTTTCCCGACCCAGAGCCGAGGGCCCGACCGTGCGCGCGCGCCCCCGCTTGCGGCCCGGCTCTGTGTCGGGAGCGCGCTCTGTGTGGCCGCTGCCGCCATGTTGTTGTGGTTGTGAAAGGCGGCGGCGACGGAGGAGGACCCCGACTAGACACTTCAGCGGCCCTGGCGCTGCCCCCCCGCCGGCCCTGGCTGGGAGCCTCGTGGGGTGGCGGAAGAGGCCGTGCCGTGGCGGGCCTCGCCATGTCCTGCCGACCGGTAAGAAGCCCACCACTGCTCCCTGCCCCCCCCTTCCCCCGTCTCCTCCGGGTGTGAGGAGGAGCTGGAGGAGGGGCCGGCCTCAGTCCGGGAGCGGCGGCTGTCACCCTGTGGAGGAGGCGGCGGCCCGCGGGGGCCTGTGGAGCGTGCGTGGCCCAAAGAGGGGTTTTCTGGGCGGCGGCGGCCGCCGCCAGGGGGAGGCGCGGGGAGTGGAACCCAGTGGCCCCGGATCCTCGGCACCGGGGAGTGGGTTCTCGGGCCGGGGCGGCCTTCCCGGATCTGGCGGGACGGGCCCATAGGGTTAGGGGTGTGAAGCGCTACCCCCGGAGCGTCCGGATAAATGCTTGCGGACCCTCGGGAGGTGAGTGCACCCCTCTTCTGGACCGGGTTTTTGGGAGTCTGCGGTGGAGAGAGGCCAGAGGCCGGGGACCAGCAGAGCCCCTGTGGTGAGCGGTGTGGGCCCGGGACTTGTGGGAAGGAGGAGTGGCCGCCTGACTGTGTAGCTGGGCATTCTCCTGACCTGGTAGTACTTGGGTGGGAAGGATGGTTCGGAGGCGGTTGGGAAAGCTCAGGGAACGCTGGTCAAACAGCTCTGCAAAAGATTACAGTGTTATTTCTTAGGTGGAAATCATGCTGCTTGATGTATCACATTGTGCTGCTTAGGACCAGTAAGATCGTATCGTTGCTTGTACTTTGGGCTGGAAAACCTACCTAAAAATAATGGGGTAAATTCAGTGGGAAAATAATGGGGTCAGTTCCACTATACTAAACTCTTTGAGTCTGGTAATCTCACCTGCAAGATTTGCACAGGAGCTACTACTGTTAGGTATTGATGTTTAGGTGTCTGTTCCAGAGCAAGGCCTAAATTCTTGACTGTTTTAGTATCTTGAGATCCACTTTGTTATCTGATAGGATCTGTTTTTTTTTTTTTTCACAATAAAAAAAAGTACGCATACTTTTCTAGTTGAGGTTCAACTTAGTTTCTCATAGTGTGACAGTGATGCCATGGCGGCCTGGGTTGAATTACAGAAGATGATTTAAAAAAAAATTTAATTGTTGTCAAGTACAGTTTTTTGCCTTTTCCCCTCACCCCAGTCCACCTCCCAGATGATTTGTTTTTTAATGTAACATGCTTGTGATTTGTATATTGAGAGGTGGCCAGGATCTCTCCTTTTTAGATTCAAGGCACTTTCTGTAGGGCAAGAGTCGTGGTCCATATTGTTTTTGTGCAGAATGACACTGTTTTGAGTAAACTCAGTCCAGTACTTACGCAATATTAAACTAACTTCTAGAATTGTAGATTGGCTGCTTATGAAGGCCTCTTTCAAATATCGTTTTTTTAAAAACCTGATTTCAGAGGGGTGGTGGGGGGAGAGAGAAACACCAATTTGTTATTCCACTTACTGATGCATTCATTGGTTGCCTCTTGTATGTGCACTGACCGGAGATTGAACCCACAACCTTGGTGTATTGGGACCATAGTCTAACCAACTGAGCTACCTGGGCAGGGCTATGAAGGCCTCTTTCAGCTCTAATTACCTCCCTCATTTTCAGATGACCCAGAGCAGTTCTGGTGACCCCCAGCACAGTTGTGCAGCCCCACTCGTAGTTAATGGCAAGCAATGGGAAGGACTCGAGTTTCTCAGCTTTTAGGCCAGATTCTTTAGTTCAGGACTTAGCTAGTTAAATACTGGCCATCAGTATAAATTGCCTAAAATGCTGTTTCCTGGGCCTCACACAGGACCCGGTGAATTAATGACCAGGTGAAGGAGGGGTTCGGGAATCCATCCTTACAAAGCTCCCTGAATGATTCTGGTCAGCCAGGTTTGTGAATTTCTGCCTTGGGTCACCTTTGGTATTCCAAAGATTCTTTTTAATTACAACTTATGTGAGAGTGCTTTTTGTTTATAGATGTTAAGAATTTGAGAGGTAGGGAAGAAGGGGAAATGTGAGAAACTTGAAACTGAAAATGGAGCATCTCCTAATATAATGGATTTACGTAAAGGAAATAGCTTTGTTGCCAAAAGTTATTTGTGCAGGTCTTCAGGAACACACTTGGTAAAGTTAGGTGCTTCTTGACTGGAGGTATATCCAGGGATGTATGGAAGAATCCAGTGGAAAGAAGAGAGGGAGAGGCAGTAAGTCTCCTGGTTCACAAAGGGGGCCACCAAAGGTGCTTTCCCCCAAAGCATAGTGGTTGCTACGAAACCATGTTTCTAGTGAAGTGAGGGTAGAGTGGGTGAATTAGCAGTCTTTTGAGTCAAGAGTTGTGAACCAGGAAGGTTTATTGTGAAAAGTTCATGAAATTTGCCCCAGGCTGTGAGGAGTGGTAAAGTCAGTTTTTAAATCTGTTGTAGTTCTGGTTAACACCTTACGTGGTCAAGTGGAATGCTGAGTTATGAAGGAAGTATTCATATTGCAGAGGGGCATGTGAGGTGCACCCAGCTGTGCACTACAAGAACAAGAGGCCTTGTCTGGTTAGCTCCTTGGTGTTTGTAGTACCTAACTGGAGTTCCCAGCATAATATGCCCTTAGGTACTTGTCGAGTAAATGAATAGTGTTGAGATGGGGAAAAGAACTGTTATGGTGGTTGATAGCAATGTTAGCTATTAAAAGCTACTTGATATCTTGCATTGGATTAAAGAAACAGTTTTTAGCTCATGTGGTTTGGAGCTTTGAGTGCTTTAAGAGATTCTGTTTTCTAAAGACTGTCATTGGACACAATCTTGTCCCCTAGTTTTTGGGTCTTAAATATGTCTTTAAAAAAATGTGTCCAACATTTTTTAGGTGTTAATGACTTTCTTTAGGATCACCTTTTATTGGATGCAGAGACATTTAAAATAATGGGAAACGGTAGATTGGTTGAGTGTTTGTGTCATTATTGACTATGTGATTGTTGGGGAGAATGTCAGTTATCTGGGCTTCAATTTCCTCATCTCCTTTTTTATCTCAAATAGTTTCTTCAGCCTTATTCTGCAAATCTTTAATAATTTTTAATTGTATTATTTGGTATCCATCTAAAAAGTAGATGAACCTTTTTAATTAAAAAAGGAACATTTTGCTTGGATTCTGCTTTTAAGCTTTTGGATTTTAGATGTTGTCTGAAAGTACTCTGGAAATTGAGTGCATATTGCAAGTGTTATGCAGAAACAACATGCTTATGCTGTTGTAATTCACTTAGTGATGAAATCAAAACAGATTTCACATAGAGAACTTCATAATTTAGGGTGAAGCCACAAGGTTAAGGATGGTTTGGAGGAAGTTTGTGCAATTTATGTGGCCAGTTTCTTACAGTCCACCAATTCTGTAATTTTTTATGGTGAATTTATATGTAGTTTTACAATCTGTGAAACGCTGAGTAAACACAAAGTATGAGATCAAATCTATATTGAACTAGGATTCCCAGTAAACCTAGAGGCTACCGAAATTAACATTCACTACTACTTTTACTTTTAATTTTATGATACCAATATCGATATAGTGCTTTTATTTTCACTTTTGTACCTAAACCTTAACATGCCTTTTAAGTTCATATTTCTGTCAGATGTTCAAAATGAAAATTATTGTAGCATGAAAGTGGATAAATCAGTAAATCCTGGGTTCAACCCTGAGTTGTGCTCCTCATTAGCTATGTTGTTTCTGGCAAGCCATGTAAGGGCTCTGAGCTTCAGTTTCCTCATTAGGAAAAGAAAGAAGAGCAACTTCTCTATCTTACAGTGTGTCAGGGAGGATCAAATGAAATGATGTATATGGAAAGCAGTCTAAAATGTAGGGGATGTTGCTAGAATCCTATTGCAGTAGAACCTTGTTTTATTTTCTTGGAAGGGTTGGCTTGTGGAGTAGTGGTAAGCTTGCTACCCGTTCTCAATTGCAGAATTTACTAATGTAACTGATACAGCAATGAAAGATTTCTGTTTCTGTACTTTGCCTAGAGAAACCTTTCAGCCCTTGCATCCCATCTGCGGATAGGAATAGTCACAGTGTTGCGGGAACTTCAGAGGGATCTTGGATGTCTCACATTTGTGCCAGGTTTTACACTTGGAACAGGACTTGCTGGATTTCACTCATTTTGTTATATTGGAGCTGTGGTGGAAGGTGACAGGGTCAAGGCATTTAGTACATTCTGTGGGCAGTTGTGGTATCTTTTCTAAATGGGAGGTGGCAACGTCATAGGGTAATGAAGTCATTTTGGTGATTTTTAAGTCATCATCTCCTTCAAGACAATAGAAGTTCTCATCATTGACCAATGTGGTGATTTTAAAAAGGATTAAAAAAGAAATAGAAATATAAGCACATCACAAATGGTGAAACTGTGTATTGATTTGGGAAACTTTTGTTTCTTTTTTTTTTTAAGATTTTATTTATTTTTAGAGAGGGAAGGGAGGGAGAAAGAGAGAGAGAGAAACATCATTATGTGGGTGCTGGGGAGCCATGGCCTGCAACCCAGGCATGTGCCCTGACTGGGAATCGAACCTGTGTTTCTTTTTTAAATATATGATTATATATTTACTGGTTTGCAACATAGAGTATATTTTTTCTTGAGTTATGGTAAAACTTTGAAGTAATTGCTTAAGGACTTGGTACCTGGGCTTTGCAGTTAGAATGCCTATAAGATAGGGAGGCATAAAACAAATGAAAAACGACAAGGAAATTGTGAAGCTGGGTTAAATTAAAGCTATTTTTTTAAGGCAGAAATACTTCATAGCTCTGTTGATTTAATGAAAGAAGTTAAGATATAAATTTATGCTAATGTTCTTACTCTTTCCCCTTAAGTGGACTGCTCGGTAAAGACAGGTACTGTATTGTACTGGGGCTGATCACTACAAAGCATTGTCTTAGATGTATCTAGGCCTGGGTTTATTACGTGCCTGTGCGTGTTTTCACACAATGTTTAAAATAATTTCATTATGAGAGATAATAGCACGCTTTCCTGCTTTCATTGGGTTCTAAAATTAATTTCTTGTGTAGCTAAAGCTTTTATAATTTAGTTGCAGAATAGAAATTTAAGTTCATTTAGTTGTCTAGTACCCATAGATAAATAATCTGGCAAAATGTAAGGAAGTCTATTGATTAAATACTTGGAGAGAATTGGTATAAAGACAAGAAGGCTAACTTGGAATAGAATTGTTCTTATTTTTTTGTTCCATGCCTATCGTTTTTCTATAAGATAAATCTAATTTTGAAATATTTAGACTGGTTACAGACCACATGAGGCGAAATAGAGGGTTGAGATTTTATTTATTTTTAGAGAACAGGGGCGGGAGGGAGAGAAACACTGATGTGTGAGAGACACATTAATCAGTTGCCTCTCACACATCCCCAACCTGGGGATCTGGCTCCCAGCCCAGACACATGCCCTGA